TACATATAAAACACATTATGTGCTATTACTATAATTTTATCAATTAAATTGAACATCTGGTAACATTAAAAAATGTAGAACGCAAATACAAATGTAAAAAAATTATAAAAGAGAAATACTGAATACAAAAAAATTTCGACAGAAATTCGGAGCACGTTATAACTCTATAAAATTTCCTTCAATATATTCTTTTTACATAAACGCTTAATTAATGATTTATTGCTTAACGCGTGTAACTGTAAGCGTGAAATAACGATGAGAATTCGTAACGATTATTACGTTAAACGGGAAATAGCAAAAACAAATTCAAGTTAAATGCCAGCATGTCAATGACCACCGAGTGGTTGAGCCAGTGACCACCATATGGAATGAAGTATTCACTTGACACGTCACAAGATCGCTAACCTCTTTTGAAATGAATGTATGCACGTTGCATAGATCGAAAATAGTGCTCGCGTATTTCTAAATTGAAATGAGAAACTGGTAATTTAAGGCTGGGCTGTTATATCCAGAGAGAGGCGGATAGCGTAAAAGAGAAAGAGAGAGAGGGAGAGAGAGAGAGGTATTCATATAGGCAGTCACGACATATCACGAAATAATACTTACTCTACCGTAATAAAGAAATCCGGCCAAGTAATAAACGTGTATTACGAAGCCAGTTTAATAGTGATTTGCCTGAAACATTCGGAAATTCACGGATATTAGACACTGATGAGCACTTAATCTAATTCAATTATCATCGAACAAATAATTGTCCACTACTCTCACAAACGTACGTCTTTCCTTACCGGTAACGCAAAGTGAAATGAGATAAATACTAGCTCGATCGCAGAAAGTTACTATAAAACAGGGATATTGAACAGCATTTTCGTTGCGAACCTTCAAATGCAAAAAGTACTAGTGAAGTTATATCTATAAAAAATCTTTACTGAACTTTTTTAAATAAAAAGCGTGTATGTTTTAAATATAAAACAATTTGCACACCAGAAATTTTACAAAGAACAAACAATACTTATATTTTTATACTATTATAAATACGTAACTTTCAAGATGATAAAACAAAAATATTTCACTGCT